GGGGTAACAATAACATTTGTAGGAAACAAGCAAAGCAAATATCTTAAATAGAGAAGCTGGGACTGTGTTGTTCAATTAGGCCTCTGGAAGATTCTGGCAGCCAGGTGGTACCTACGTAAACAGGACTGTGCATATCCAGGATGACCTGAGCTCTCATCTGTTTCCCCTTGAAGTCTATAAAAACAGGAAGTAAAGACTGGAACAGATGTGTGTATTTGCAATGGAAATGACCGCAAGTCATTTATTATAGATTTATGTATTATATATATTTATTATATATTATTTATTTATTATAATCTAGGCAACACTTATTTAAAAAAATGACTAGAAATCAACAAACAGAACATGACAAGACTAAGTGGGGAAGACATAGACCAACATACTCACTCTCCAAACTCTGGCACACATAATGGTTCCAGGCATGTAAAGAAGTCTGTCCAGTTGTAAGAAGACTAACCCAACGGTGATTTAAAAGCCAATAAAGACTGAGGAAAGCCACTATACAATCATTAACATCATTAATGAGGTTAAAGATATAACTCAGTGGTAGAGACTTGCCTGGAGAGGGAACCTAGGTTCAAGCCTTAGTATTTACAAACAAGCAGATACTCATCATTGATGAGTAAGAACATCATGTTTTTGTGAAAGGAAGAGAACTGAGTTTTAGACTTGCCACATTTTGTTATATAAACTATGCACTTTTGACCAAAACCCAAGAATGTTTAATACAGTCTAAGAAATAAGAAAGTTTGGCATCCACACAGGGAAAAAAAAAAAAAAAGTCAATGGAGAAAATATCCAAATAAGCCCAGAAATGGACTCAGAGAAGACTAAAGATTTTATTTAAAACATCTATTTATATTTTACAAATGTAAGAAAACTGAATCTAAAAGAAACCCCATCAAAATACCAGCACAATCCTTCACAGACCTTGAAGGAATAACACTCAACTTTATATGGAGAAACAAAAGACCCAGGAAAGCCAAAACAACCCTGTACAAAAAAGGAACTTCCGGAGGCATCACCATTCCTGACTTCAAGCTCTATAATAGAGCTATAATCCTGAAAACAGGTTGGTATTGGCATAAAAATAGAAAGGTAGACCAATGGAATTGAATTGAAAACCCCGATATTAACCAGCATGGAACTGATCCAGACCTCAAGAATGTGGGTGCCAGTGAGGAGGCGTCAGAAATCTATGGGGCCTCTTGTAGATCAGTACTTATCCCTAGCATAGCAATGGACTTTGAGAGCCCATTCCACATAGAGGACTACTCCCTGAGCCTAGACACACTGGGGAGGGCCTAGGCCCTATCCCAAAGGATATGACAGACTCTGAAGATCCCCCATGGAAGGGCTCACCCTCCCTGGGGAGCAAAAAGGGTATGGAATAGGTAGAGTGTTAGTGGGGGGCAGGGGAGGAGGGGAGGGAGTGGGAATTGGAATTGACATGTAAAACAATCTTGTGTCTAACTTAAATAAAAAAATGGAGGGAAAAAAATCAACAACAGTTTCACTGAAGAGACAGTATCAATAGATGTAGACACTAAAAAACTAGCCAATAAGAAATTCTGGAACTGAAAATGTTCTAATCAAAACAAGGTTTAGTTAGAGGGACTCAAAAACAGATCTAGCTGGGCGTTGGTGGTGTACACCTTTAATCCCAGCACTTGGGAGGCAGAGGCAGGTGGATGTCTATGAGCTCGAGGCCAGCCTGTTCTACAAAGTGAATTCTAGGACAGCCAGGGCTGTTACACAGAGAAACCCTGTCCCCCAAAACAAACAAAGATCTAAAAAAGCCTAACAGAGAATAAATAAACTAAACAAAGTCAATTGAGATTATTCCGTTTAAGAACAAAAAAGAAAAATGAACGTATCTGTACAGACCCGTGGTATATCAAACATACAAAACAGTATTTCAGAAGATAAGAAAGAGGTACAAAGAATACAGGAAGAAACAAATAGCCCAAATTTTCCAACTTCACAGAAAACCATTAAACAGAACTAAGAAACTCACGTATTCTAAGCAGGACAAACTCAGGGCAATTCTCATATAGAAGCAGACAAAGGTGAAAACTGAAGACAGGATGGAGGATGGGGATGTACCTAAATTAGTAAAGTCCCATGTTCTATCCTAAACACTGCATAAACCCAGATGATGGTTCACGACAGAGACAGTAGACTCCAAAGTTCATGATTATCTTGGGTTAGGTACATAGTAAGTTCAAGATAAAGACTTATCATATCCAAATTCTCATTAAGAGCCTCCTCAAAGGTAAGTAAAAGTGCATGCCAGCAATTGTGAAGACCTGATTTTGAACCTTGTGGTGGTCTGAATAGGTATGGTTCCCATAGACTCATGGGTTTGAGTGCTTGGCTGACAGGGAGTGGCACTATTAGGAGGTGTGCCTTGTTGGGGTAAGTGCAGCCTTGGAGGAAGTATGTCACTGTGGAGGCAGGCTCTGAGGTCTCATATATATATGCTCAAGCTACACGCAGAGTGATACACAGTTGCTTCTGCTACCTGCAGATCAAGATGTAGAACTCTCAGCTCTTTCTCCAGCACCATGTCTGCATGTCACCATGTCTCCAGAGATCAAGATGTAGAACTCTCAGCTCTTTCTCCAGCACCATGTCTGCATGCATGCCATCATGCTCCCCATGTTGTGATAATGGATTAAACCTCTGATTAAATAGTTTCCTTTATAAGAGTTGCCATGGTCAGGGTGTCTTTTTACAGTTATAAAACCCAAACTAAGACAATCCCAAAGTCCCACATGGTAGAAGGACAGAACTGACTTCCACAAGTTGTTCTCTGACCTTTACACACCTATCATGGCACATAATACACACACACACACACACACACACACACACACACACACACACACACACCCCGAATAAGTAAATAAATACATAAATGTGAAATGACAGAAATAGGAAATTCATTAAGTAAAATAAAAAGCTTCACAAAAACCCTTATCAACATAATGGATCAAGGGAAGGACAGAATATCATGACCTGAACACAGGGTAGAAGAAATTAGAATACTCAGACAATTAAGAGACGAAAACAGAAGGTACAAACAACATTCAAGAGCTATAGGGTATTATGACAAAATAACAAATCATGATCAAAAAAGAATAACTTCATGTCAAAAGCATAGAAAACTGATGGGGGATGTCCTTCTGTATGCTGTGAATATGTTTCTCTTATTGGTTGATGAATAAAGCTGTTTTAGTCAATGGATAGGCAGGATGTAGCCAGGCAAAAAGTATAGGTAGGGCTACTACACTAGGACAAAGCTAGGAAGAGGAAAGCAGAGAGGAGCCGCCCGAGAGACATTATCATGTAGCTACTGGGAAGGTAGAATACCAGGGTATTCTCCAGCAAGATAAGGCCACGTGGAAATACAGAGATTAATAGTTATGAGCTAATAATTAAGGGAGCTAGTCAGTAAGAAGCCTAAGCTATCGGCCAAACAGTTTATAAGTAATATAAGTCTCTGAGTGTTTATTTGGGACTAAAGGGCTGCAGGACCTGGTGGGACAGAAACCTCCCATCTATGGAAAACATTTTCAGCAAAACCATAAGAGAAAATTTCCCAAATCTAGATACAGATACTGATCCAGGTATAGAAGGCATTTAGAACACCAAACAGATTATAATTAAAACACTTAATGTACAGAACAAAGAAAGTACATTGAAAGCTGCAAGAGAAAAATACCAATCACATGGAGTGGCAGGCCCACTAGAAAAACAACATATTTTCCAACAGGCTGGGAGGCTTGGAATGATATATTTCTAACTTTGAAAGATAATATGTGCCAATGCACTCTACTACACACAGCTAAACAATCTGTCCTATTTTAAGAACAAAAAAAAAAACACAAGCTTTCCACAAAACAAACAAAAAAATAAAAAGCTAAAGGAATTTATGACTACACAGGCTCCAGAGAAGATACCTGAAGGAATCCTTCAGACTAAAGAAAAAGACAGTACGGGCACACTGCTACAAAAAAAGAAGAAGCTACCACAAACAGCAGTGAAGTAAACAAGGAACAACAAACACACAAAATCAACATAATGTCAATACAGGCCTTCCAATAAAAACTGAATATAATGATGTCAATTCCTCAATCAAAAGACCAGAGACAAGTAGACTCGATTGAAAACCAAGATTCAAGGATTGCCAAGGATTCAATGGGTAAAGATGCCATGCTAAAAACCCATACGGTGGGTGACAACCAACTCCTACAAGCTTTTTTCTGACCTATATACATATGCTGTGGTACATGCACATAAATATTAAATAAATAAATAAATGTAATTTTAAAATTAAAGAACCATTCTAGTCATAAAGGCTACATTTAGTGACCTTACAGCAATATAACTAGCATTCTGCAAGGTGTACAAAACCACCACCACAACCCACATCTTAAATTCTGTATATGGGAAGCTGGAGTAGAGCAGAACCCTGATTTCACTCCCTACCACTCCTGTCCCTAAAAAAAACCTCCTATCTATGGAATTAAAATAGTAAGATCCTCTAAGCAATCTTAGTCAAATGATAACACTAAAATTTGTAACATTTGAAGCTAGGTGTGGTGGTTCACACCTTTAATCCCTGCACTCAGGAGGCAAAAGCAGGATGATTTACAGGATAGCCAAGGCTACACAGAAAAATCCTGTCAAGTAAAAAATAGATAGACAGACAGATGGACAGACAGAAAGACTATAAAAATTACAGCATTTTAAACCAAAATTAGAAAACCATAAAACATATGAGATGTAGCCACATGAGTAACTTGGAGGAATTTCCTCCAATTATCTTTTGCACATCTACTATACTTACTTACAAATCTTAGTTTCCCTCACAGAGAAGCTATCAGAATGAGGATTTTTGAATAGTTTCCAAATAATTATAATAACTACTTGTCCCCACCTGAAAACAAGTTATGGTAAATTAAGGTAATCAACTTTTTGGTAGAGAGTCTTACATGTCTATCCTTCCGCTCTATAATGTCTTGCCTTTGTTTGCATTTCTGAGAGGCTTCCTTAATCTCAGTTGCCTGCAAGATTGAACCAGAAAGGAAAGATTAATTAAAAACTCAAGCCAATTACACAGTCCCATCCACCCAAATATTAGGTGAATCAACCCATAACAAAACTTTGCCACATCTGAATTCAAAACAAGTTCATAATTATACCAAATTACTAATGGTATAGGAAATCTATAAAGGTTATTCCTACCAATACTAAAGAGTGGGTGTAGTAATAATAATACATGTGCATACATTTGTTTCTACAGATTTGTTTCCCTATGATAGTAAAATACAGATACATAGACTGATACGATGTGCCACCCCAGAAGCCAAAGGCACCCCTTCAGGAGAAGAATTCTAAAATATTATGGACCATGTACATTTATACATAAGCATGGGCTCATGGAGTTTTTTGAGACTGCCTCAATAGCTGGCTTCTTTTAGGAACAGAGAAGCAAAACAAAACAAAACAAAACAAACAAACAAAAAAGTAATTTAGCAGTAACTTCAGGTGATACAAAGACCCTATAAATCCACAATTTAATTATAACCAATTACTATTAACATGACTGCCAACTATAAAGTGAAAAGACCTGTCCAAAAAGTGAATCTACAATCTTTGCTTTAAATTTTTGAATGCTCATAGTAATGATGAATTATTTGAGTTATCCAATGTACAATGGAAGTACCTGAGGAGATGCCAATACTTTGACTTTAACTGCACTTACTCAAATCTCCAAAATGGCACAAAAAATTCTGGATCTGCTTATATCGTATTATAGTAAGTCAACCCCATTCCCTCTCCCAATCTATGGTTTTGCATTGTCAAGTCTGTAATCAACCACAACCCATAAATATTAAGTAGGAATTTCCAAGAATAAACTATCCGTAGTTTTAGTGTGTCACTTTTTGACTGTGTGCCATTCTAAACTGCGTTATGAAATGTCAAGCTGCACTACTGTACTATCCCTAACATCAGGCTGGGTGAGGCACGCCCACAATAAGCTTACCATTTAGCAGTTCTCAGTTTTAGCAGTCTGACTGCTGAGGGACCGCACTGCTTTTATTCAATACGCCTTATTAGGTTAGTAATGGTCCCAACAAAAGAAAGTGGTCACACTGGCAACTAGACATGACAAGAAAAGATATAATATGCTTCCTTTAGAACAAAATGTCCCCATTTATAATACACTCATATGTATAAGTAGGAGGGAGAAAATACAGGTTGACCACCCCAAATCAGAAAATGTGGAATCTACACTACTTCAAAATTTAAAACTTTTTTTTTGTTTGTTAAAAAGGTTCAAATTTTGGATTTTCACACTACGGGATTATCAGTTGGTAAAGTCTATGCAAATTCCAGAAACAGTGAATAATAATTTTAAAATAATTTTGTGGTAAGCATTTTGCACAAGGATATTCAAACTACATAGGGCTTGGTGTTATCTTCAGTTTTAGGTATCCACTGAAATATAGTGCCCACAGAGGAGAAAATTACCATATTCTACAAGCAGACATTTAACCATTTTCAAAATAGCCTCTTGTGCTGGCTACTTTTTTTGGTCAACTTGACACAAGCAAGAGTTACCTGGGAAGAGGAACCTAAATTGAGAAAAATGCTTCTATTCATATTGCCTGTGGATACAACTATCGGGCATTTTCTTGATTAATAGCTGAGGTGGGCAAGCTCAGCCCACAGGGGTCATGCGCTGTGTGACCTCTGGGCAAGTGGACCTGAGTTGTGTGAGAAAGCATTCAGGTAAGCCAGTAAGCGCACCCCTCCACGGTTTCTGCTTCAGTTTCTCTAACCAAGGTCCTGCCGACTTCCCTCAGTGATGGATGTAATCTGTCAGTCATATGAAATAAACCGTCTCTGCCCCAAATTGCTTTTGGTCATGGTGTTTTACCACAATAGAAACGCTAAGACACCTTTGACCCCTAGGTATCTCTGGGAAGCTAGAATTCACTAACATAAACATTTAAAGTTATAAAAGACATACAATACTCTCAGAAAAGGAGCTCAGTGTTTCTAAGAAAAATGTTCAGTTTTTAATGAAAACAAACACTTTTTCTCTTGAAGCTAGTTCTCATTCTGTAGCCCATGCTAGCTTCAATGGCTCAGTGTCCTAAGTGCTAACCTGAGCCAATCTACCCAGCAACAATCATCTTGAAGTTTCTTTAAGGTAGAAATTCTCCCTAATCATAACACGCTCTAAAAAATCGTAAATTAATTCCTAAAGAACCTGAGGAATAAAAGCTGAAAGTGAACCTTAGAAAATACTTTCAAAGACATGAAAAGCATTTATTTTGTCTAAGTTAAATAAAATTCAGACAACCCAAAGATGAACAACAAAGTACCTTTTCTTTGATTCGAGTTTCCAGAGTACGACGCTGCCTTTCAATCTCCTCAATTCGGCGAGTCATAGGGATTTGCCCTTCTTTAAGCTTTCTGACCTCTTCTTTCACTCGGTCACGAACTAGCTTTACACCTTCATATTCCTGCCGTACATTCTCATACTCCTTACAAATAATTCAAGGAACAGAAATTAATACATTAAGTAATTTAAATTAACACCTACTAAAGCCAAAGTGTAAGCAGCGATTTTCTTTTAATTTACTAATAAAGGCAAGATTAAAGAATAGGTAAACAAACAAAACTATCAATTTTCAAAGGTAAAAAATAGCTCAGAAAAAAACAAAACAAACAACCAAAAAGAAATATGTAGATACTAGCTTAACAAAAACAATGTCTGGGCCAGAGACATGCTTAGCAGGTAAAGGCACCGCTATCAGGCCTGTTGACATGAGTTAAATTCCTGGGACCCAAATGAGTGAAATCGAGAATAACCTCTCACAAAAAGAGATGTCACTCCAGAGGTATTAGCTAAATATTTGCTGAGTAACAAGAAAAGAGAATGCTAAAGTAGATATTATAATACAAGTGAATAGGGCTTGGGAAGGCTGGAGAGATGGCTCAGCAGTTGAGTGCTTCCTGCTCAGAAGACCCAGTATACACAAGGGACAGTTCAAACCCACCACTACAGTTCTAAATGATCATATGTCTTCTGACATCCTAAGGTACTTATGTACACAGCCTAACCTCAATTAAAAGTAACAAAACTTTTGCAAAAGTGAATGAAATAAAGCAAAGGAGAAAAAAAGCTCTACAGATTTTAAATTAAAAAGATTAAAATCAATCTCCTAAAAAAGAAGGAATTGGGGGCTGGATAGAGAGCTCAGGATTTAACTCGCCGCTCTTCTAGATGACCTGTGTTCAATTCCCAGCAAACATATGGCAGCTCACAACTGTCTGTAACTCCAGTTCCAGGGGATCTGACCCCCCCCCAGACATACATGCTGGTAAAACACCAATGCACACAAAAATAAATAAATCTTAAAAACAAGAGAAGAAATTAAAACACTTTAAATGACAGAGTGAAAAATAGTAAGTAGGAAAAATGCAGTAAGAAGGTACAGAATGGAAAAAGTTTAAGAATAATGAAACTGGGAGCTGGAGAGATGGATCAGAGGTCCTGAGTTCAATTCCCAGCAACCACATGGTGGCTCACAGCCATCTATAATGAGATCTGGTGCCCTCTTCTGGTGTGTATGCATACATGCAGGCAGAATTTTATACATAATAAATAAATCTTAAAAAAAAAAAAAAGAATAACAAAACTGTAAAACGTGGTTGAAGGAAGTAAAAGTGCCATAAATATATGGTCATGCTATGAAGTGGTAGCCCTTGCCTTTAATCCCAGAACTCAGGAGGCAGAGACAGGCAAATCTCTGTGAGTTCGAGGTCAGCCTGGTCTACAGAGTGAGTTCCAGAACAGCCAGGGTTGTTAAACAGAGATACCCTGCCTCTAAAAACCATCTCCCCCAAAAGAAACCAAAACAAAACAATATATGTATACATTGGTATATACATATGGTCAGACATTACTTTCATTCTAATAACTGTTTCCACTGAAAACATGGAACAAACACTAGGAAAATTAATTTTTCTACCCATTAAGTAATGTTATCAACGAAATGCACTATTCATTCCAACTAGCCATAGGCAATAAATTTGTGTCATATTGTAACAGAAGTATAACAGAGTTTTAGGAAAATCATGAAGTATGAGAAGACAGTTAAGATACTTTAGTTACATGTGGCATACCTCAACTGAATTCTTAATGACCTTACTGGGGACACACACACAAATATTTTCAGTGGCACTGAGGACTGATCCCAGGACATCAAGCATGCTAGATAAGCACTCTGGCAATGAGCAATGCCCCCTCCCCTGCAACTTTATTTTTAATATGAATAAATAAACACTTTAGCTCATTAACATTAAGGAAAAAAGCAAAGACCTGCTAAGGACTAAAAACTGAAGAATTAACAACAGCGACTCAATCAACTATTTGCTATGTGGTAATTAGCATGTATCAAAGAATTAGAAAAATACTTATGTATGACATGTAATGTAACTTTAAAAGCAGTAGTTAACCTGAATACAAAGTGAGTGCCTACTTATAAAGATGGGCTTTATAAGTGCTCAGTCACTGCATTCATTGATTTTGTTTTGTTTAGTTTGGTTTTTGTCAACTTCACACAACCTAGTGTCACCTGAGAAGGAACCTCAATTGAAAAACTGCCTCCATCAGACTGACCTACAGTTTTTTAAATTATGATTGCTGTGGAGGGTCTAGCCAACTGTGGGTGGTGCCATCCCTGGGGCAGGTAGCTCTGGGGGATATAAGAAAGCAGCTAAGAAAGACATGGGAAACAAGCCAGGAAGCAGCAGTCCTCCATGGCTTCTGATTGAGTTTCTGTCTTCTGGTTCCTGCTTAGAGTTCTTGCCCTGATACCCCTTCAGAATAGAGCATGGTTATAAGCTGAAATAAACCCTTCTCCACATTCCTTTTGGTCACAGTGTTTACCACAGCAATAGAAAGCAACAACCTAAGACATTGAAGAGTCACCTATTTTTACCTCAGATAATTAACACTTACCACCCATGGTCTCTTTGCCTCAAGCATCTCAATTAAATCTAAATGTCGCTTTCGTTCATAGAATCTTTCCACATCTTGTTTGTATCTTTCATTTCTCTGAACCATTTTCTCTAGATATTCAGTTTTCTCTTTGCAGGAGGTCTAAAATAAGCATTTGTTAACAATTAGTTTAAATTAAAAAAAAAAAACATGGGAAGTCAAATTTTTTAACAATGAAACACAATATAATCAAAACTTCACAAAAAGAATCCTGTAGGAATTAAAATAAGTGAGGCTAGGAAGAATACTGGCCTGGAAGGCATGTGGTTCTGGATCTGATCCACAGCACTGCTTAAAACTAGCCTAGTGATACACACCTGTAACCTTAGTGCTGAGGAGGAAGAGGCAAGAACATCACATGTTAAATGCCATTGTCAGCTACACAGAGTTAAAGGCCAGTCTAGGCTACAGAAGACCTATCTAAAAGCAAGGGGGTAAAAATAACCTCAAGTGAAAGTAACACTCATGCAGAAAGGTTCTGGTTGAGGAACTGTGAGGAAGCCTTGTCAACACCTCTAAGCCCATGGCTTTGTCTAAAGATAAAAGAAGCAATTCACTTAATACAGGTTAAGTATCCTCTATTCAAAATGCATAATGCTAAAAGTGCTTCTACTTTTGAAATGTATCAGATTGTGGAGTATGTGCATGGATGTAACTACCAGTTAAGCATCTGCAATCTGAAGCTCCAAAATACTCGTAAAGTGAAGCTCTGTAGACACCCATGATTGGAATATGAAACAGTTTAGATTTTAGTCCTATCTGCCCAGATGAAAGCTTAATAAAGGCTGTAAAAATGGCATATAAATGCAAAGTAGTATCAGGATTAGCATTCATGAATGCTTAGGACTTAAGGACTTTGAGACGACAAAAAGCTAAAATTAAATCTTTCTATTGCATATTAACAAATACAAAGATGCACTGAAGAGCCTTGGGGGGGGGAATACATACTTGTCACCTTCAGTGGATGGGAGGTAACTTAGAAATCTATTTCAGATGGAAATATTAGACTAGTGCAAAATAAGACAAAAGAATTAAAGGAGTACCAGACACAGAACTAAGTAATCACAAAAATCTTGGACCAATTCCTTTTGAATAAAGCCAACAAAACTAATGCTTTACTAATAAAATACTTGCCATAGATAGTTATACTTAAAGAGAAGACATATCTTGATTTTTAATTCTAAAAACATACTGTCTTAAGATCTAAGGATCTAGAACTAGAACCATTAACTAAACCATCTTTAAAAATGATAGGTAATACAACATTTCTATGTATCAATTTATCAAAGGTAAAAATTAAAAATGAACTCTTCAGCTAATTCTACATAACAGATAATTCTATAATTTAGCTTATACAGTCTACCTTCTTTTGACTTAAGAAAATAATACCCCAAGTGACATCAACACCACATCCTTATCTTCTGTAATACTCAAAACCTTACACAGTGCCTAGCACATGACAGCTATTTCATGGGTACCAAATGAAAGAAAAATGTACTTTCCTATGAAAAAGTTCCTTAAAAACTCAACTGGTGACATGTATTTACTGAAACAATCAAATATTTCAAATTTCATAAAATCAAAATCATTCTCACTTTCTGCCATCAATTGATGTTAGAAATATAAGCTTGGGTGAAAAAAAATCAACAATTATGAATTTACTCCATATACAGAAATATTACCCATTCTCTAAATATTTCGAAGCAGAATCAGTAAAAGACAACAGAAATCAGTTGTCTATTTTAAATACCTCTAGCTGTTTCTCCTTCTCTCTGAAGTTTTTAAGTTCACAGTGGTATCTGTGCATCTCGGGAGGACCAATTGACTTCTCAGTGGCTTCAAGTAGTTCAATTTTGCTGAGTTTAGCAAATTCCCCGACTTTGTCCTACAGCACCAAAATTAAGTATTAGCAACTATCATCCATAAATACCTTTAAAATATATTAAGTTTAACAAAACGGGTCTCATTTAAAAAAATTCCTGAGATATGAATCTTCTTAAAATCTTTACTATATACTGTGTTTCGAAAATGACGGCATGTTTTTTTATAATGTTAAAAGAACATGTCACTATTCCTAGGTAGAAATGTTTATACAAACAAGCAAGTTGGAAATAAAAGGAAACAGTCTTCCAGACTGAAATGATCATTAATACCTACAGTAACGAGGAACAGTAAAAATACTTCTTTCTGGAGGTAGTTTGATAAATATAACTTTCAAATTTTAAATCGGCATTTAATTTGGACTTATTAAATCAAATCATTATGTTTGTGAAGAAAATAGTCACAAAGCAACATTAAAACAAGATATGTGACTATAATTTTAAATGTAGATTATCAGGACTTAAAAAAATTCTTTAAAAATTTTTCTTTTATATGTGCGTATCTATGTGTGGATTTGTGCTTGTGAGTACAATGTCCAGGGAATCAAGGTGGCAGCATCAGATCCACTAGAGCTGCAGTTACAGGCAGTTGTAAACTGCCATATGTGGGTGCTGGGAACCAAATTTGGGTCTTTTGAAAGACTAGTATATGCACTTAACAACTGAGCCATCTCTTCAGACCAGGATATTTTATTATTGATAAATATTAATATTTAAAAAAATAATACTAGACTTTAGAAAGTACACTTACATATAAAAGAATTTCATCTTAGCCAAATATTTCATGCAAATGTATTAAAAGTTGTTCATTAAGCTAGGCATGATGGTTCATGCCTTTAAACCCAGGACTTAGAAGGCAGAGACAAATAGATCTCTGAATTCAAGGCCAGCTAGAGCAAATTCCAGGACAAGCAGGGCTACAGGAAAATCCTGTCTTCAAAGGCAAAACAAAACAGAACAACAACAAAAAGTTGTTCATTAACTGTGGCTTCTCAGGATCACCACACTTAATGCACGGCAATTATGGCTGCCAGAACAAGCCAATTAATATATATTACTTAAATTATTTATATATTTTTATTTTATGTGTATCAGTGTTTTGCCTGCATGTATGTCTATGTGAGGATGTCAGATCTTAGAGTTACAGACAGTTGTTAAGTTGTCAAGTGGGTGCTGGGAACTGAACCCAGGTCTTCTGGAAAAGCAGTCAGTGCTCTTAACCTCTGAGTCAGTTAACATTCTAGAAGTGGTTCATTTTGGAACTTAAAATTATTAGCACAATATAAGGATGACTGAGGTTTATAAATCCCATACCCTAGTTGAAGAGCAAGAATAGTTAAGCTGCTGGCTTCTGGGAGAGGGAGAATCAACTTTCGTTATTGGTGTGGCTCCTGGTACATTAACCAGCGCATGGCCCAAATCACAGAGTATCTGGACAGTACAAAATGGAGTCCATGGGGTATTACAAAAAAATTAAAAATGACCCAAAACTAGGAGTAGATGGGGAGGTGGAGTTGGAGTGATCTTGAAGGAGTTAAGGGGAAGAAATAGGGAGTAGTTATGATCAAAACACACTATATGAAGCTTCAAAGGATTAATAAAAATATTTTAAAGAAGTTGTTCCTTGAAAAATGTCAAAGTTTGCAAATGAATTACTGCATCTACTCTGTACTTAAAGTACCTTTCTTACGGGCTGGGGAGATAGCTCAGTGGAGAAAGTGCTTTCAAGTGTGAGGACAGACAGGAGTTTGGATCTCTAGTATCCAGCATGGCAACCTGCCTGTAATCCCACTATTATGACAGAGACATGCAATCTTCTAGTCAAACTGAAAAGATCTTGGTGCCGACCGCATCCTATTAAATGAAGCGGAGAGTGAGGAAAACATACATCAACCTCTGCCTCTAAAAATATGTGCACACATGTGTACTCAAATACCAATGCACAACACATATATACACATGAAAAAAATACATAGTTTTAAAAACATTTTGGAACTTAAAATTATTAACACAATATATGGACGACTGAGGTTCACTTAGCCTGGAGTACTACAATTACAGATATGTGTCACCATGCCCATAAAAACAGTAAGTTCTGCGTGCTGTGCTCAATGTAAAGAGTAATATTTTTATAACATTAACGGGATGCTTCCTTTTAGAAAGAATTACAAATGTTAAGAGTGCTGCATTTGATACAAATACCACTGCATTATTTCTTGAATGGTATTTATGTTTTCTGTGGCATAAAGCCAAAACATTCACCCCAAATTTTCCCATGTTCTCATGTATTTTCTCAGACCTGAGGCAGGAACTGGCATAGGTTTCCCACTTGGATGTTTAAGGCTGCAACTTGTTCTTCCACTATTTTCTGGGTTACAGGTTTTTTGTTGATGAACCAAAAGGACTGATTTTTTATCACATCAATCTCACGGGTGATTACAAGATTTCCCGAAGTCCTGAACCTAATTAAAGAATTGAAGAGCTTTTATATTCAAAACACACATTGATTAAGAATAACATTTCTATTACTTTTCTTATACCCAAGGTCTAAGAAATATTACTATAATTTTTATTCTTTCTGGTATTTTTAGAACCCTTCCAAGTTAGAAAGCATGGCTTTTTGTTTGTAATTATTCCACAATTGGCCATATCAGTTACTATTTAGTTAACGTTCAAAACTACCTATATTGTTGAAATTAAAACAAGTGCCAATACTAATCCCCAAACACACCAAGTTTATTTATCCTTTAAGCATTACACTATTCAGTCACATACACTGACTGCAATTCAAAAGTGATTAGTACATTAAAAGCTAATATAACATAACAGTCAGAGGAAACTTTCTCTACTTGGAAAATGTATGAATGAAAACTGACTTCCACGTAGAAATTTCTCTAATCAAAACCCTCTGCCCAAAATGGTGAAATCATGGGTTACTCATCATGTTCTCCATTCTGAATCCAGAGAGAACTATAGTATATGCCTATAAAGAACCATTAAGTAAAACAGAATCTGAAAGAAGAATATTTACTCATGTCTTGCTTTCAGAAGTACTTGCTTCAACTGCCCATCTGTTCACCCATCTTCTTCATAAGGGGATCAAAGCCAAGACTTTAAGCATATCAGGTAAGCTCTCCACCACTACGCTACACTCTAGCCCAAATATTTCAAAACTGGCAAAAAGTCTTAAATTTGTGAAAAACCACAGTTTTTCTTTCCCCCTCTCTGGTGTGAGTATTTGTCTGAGACAAGGTCACAAGTAGTCTAGGCTGGACTTGAACTTGTTATCTACTTGAGGATGACCTTAAACTCCTAATTCTCCTGAATAGCATGCAACTCCTTACTCTCCTGCCTCTATTTCCTAAGTGCTAAAATTATGAAGTATATAATCAGACCTGACTATAACTTCTTAGCATATATTTTCAGCCATATACTTTTGTTCCATTATTCCCACTAAACTATAAAATTTAAAGAACTTTTCAAAAATGTTTTAAAAATTTGTTTTAAAAGACACAGTAAAAATATTTACTTGATTTATATATCCTTTAAAAAGCATTGTCTATATTTGCCACAATATTACATTTATATTCTTTCCCAACGTTATCAAGAAAGTATAAATACAAGTTGAAAAATAATACAGAAAAGGGATGTTTTAGAAGATTTCACACTTACAGTTCAATTTCAACCAAACCCTTGGAACATCCTCTCTTCACGAAAAACCCAACCTACAGCGTAAAAAGAATAAGAGCTGCAGCAACAGTATTCCCAGGATAACAATCAGAGATCTAGAAAAGTCATTGCTGTTCTTCAAATCAAGATTTTTTTTCCGTAACTACATGAATGTCCATCCTGACCACTTTTCAGAAAGGCTAGGTCCCTGTACTCTTCTCATACTACAGAAATCACAATAGTTAAATTACAGATCACTTTTGTGCCAGGCAGTTAAGACTTACAAAGCTGGTTTCAGGGTGCTAAGTGGAAGTGATACAAATCTGGGCAATCAGGCTTCAGAGTACTATGTACTCTCAGAAGAGTTTAAACTTCAGACAGAACAAGTTCTATACTACAACCACAGAGCACTACATCAAATCTACTCCAGTGGCAGACACCCATAAAGGTGTACAGATAAACATTAACACCACTCTAATAGTGCCCATCCTGTTTTAAAGATAGACCTGCCACCAAGTAAGTACCTTTTAAATATGATTAATAAAATTATAATTTACATAGTAAAATAGACATCTGAACTAGTTCTAATGACTATGAGCTTAAATACAACAGAGACTGAAGGACTAAAACATCAAACCAGATCTTAAGTTTGAGCTCCATAAGAAATAAATACTAAAATGATAGAAATGTCATGGCTTCACCCCTTAGTATTTGGTAGAAAGGAAAATTCAAGGTTACCCTCAACTACATACCAGTACTAGCCTGCCATTGCTACACAAGAACCTGTCTCAAAACTACAAAACAAGTAAGTGTGCGCGTGTGTGTGTATGAATATGATGAAAATATATTGTATGTTATTATTAAAGAATACATTAAAAAAAAACAAGGAAAAGTAGTACCAATACAAACTAACGTGGATACAGCATTATAAAATTTATATTTTAAAGTACTATAAAATATACTGAAAGGTAAATTTAAGAAAATCACCAACAACAGAAAAAAATTTAATCAGAATATAGTGACCAGCAAAACATTACAAAATATATAAAGAACAAGGGCTAGAGAGTCAACAGCACTTGGTGCTTTCCCAGAGGACCTGAGATCTGTTTCCATTACCTATGCTGGGTAGTTCACAACTATCTGTAAATCTGATACCCTCCTGTGGCCTCCATAAGTGCACAAACACATACAAACAAACACACACACACACACACACACACACCCTGCACACAACTTTTGTTTTGTTTTATAAGACAGGGTTTCTCTGTGTAGCTTTGGAGCCTGTTCTGGAACTCACTTTGTAGACCAGGCTGGCCTCGAACTCACTGAGATCTGCCTACCTCTTCCTCCCGAGTGCTGGGATTAATGCTGGGATTAAAGGCATGCGCCACCACTACCCAGCCACATATAACTCTTTAAAAAACACAAAACAAAAAAGAAATAAGGCCTTGCAATAATTATTTTAATAATGCTAATGATTTGTGATAATGACTGTAAATAAACTACCATTTATTATATGCTGTTAAGACCAACTGGAAAATTCAATTGGCAGTATACCAACCCTGAAGCATATACTATAACCACTTTATAGATGATGAAATTAAGGAATTAAGGATCAGAAAGATGGAGGGGGGCATTCAAATCAGAACGTTGTCATGTACAAGTAAGTTACCTGGCCTTGGCTGGAGAGGTGACTTAACATTGTTTACTCATAGAAAACAAGGACCTCTCTCAAGGAGCTAATTGTGCACTGGCTTGCAACAATTAAAATATCTGGTACTAATGAAGGATAAAAATAGAAAGCAGTTTTTATTTATTATAAAGTATTCATACAGATGATTTAGTTCGTGCTTGTAGTAAAATTGTATACTAACATTTAAACAGAAATATATTATTCTTGCTGAGAACTTAGATCTCAATTAAATATTAAATATGTAGACACAGAAGGCCAACAGTCTGTATTTAGGAACCACTGCACTCCAGGACCTCCCTTAAAAAACCCTACCACTCCAAGAGGAGATGTGGTTTCTTTAAAATAAAACCAGCAAGGCTAGTAAAAACTGCTATAGCACAACCTGTACAGACTGAGAATATAACCAAGTGCAGCAGGAATGAATTCATGACTTAACAAAGTACATATAAATATTCACAAAAATATGAGCTGGTCCTTGCAAATTAACTACTTTAATCCCCTTATCTTTGAAATGAACGTTTGATGTTCAGACCACTGGCCAAGGTCATCAGGCTAATTTATTAACATTTGAATAGGCTTATCTACAACTAGGGAGTATTTGGTTCAATTTTGTAGCACTACATTTTAAGTACAGCTAAACATCTGATAGTATCACTTGACTAATGCAGCAGTTTTTTCAGTACTACATTTTAAGCTTTAACAAAATACTGTGTTTTTGTTGTTTTGTACTATATTTATTTGCAGGGAGAGTGCACGACATGTCTCATGTATGTGTCAGTTCTCTCCTCCCAACCTGTGGGAGGGATAGAACTCAGGTTGTCAGTTTGGAAGCAAGTGCTTTTACCCACTCAACTATCTCAACTTGCTCACAAACTGTTCTTTTAAAATACAATTTTATATTTTTTTGTATAATCTTTGTTAATTTATTCTTAAATAATTTATACTTGCATTGTTATTATTAACAACATCTGGGCCTGGAGAGAGAATTCATTAGTTAGGAGCACTTAGTACTATTGCAGATGGCCAGAGTTTGATTCCCAGCAAACAAAATGTATGACTCACAACTTCCTGTAACTCCAGCTCCAGGGGAATAAGATACCCTTTTCACCCTACACAGACATGCATGCATGCAATCTCTCTCTCTCTCTCTCTTAAAAAAAGACAAAACCCAACATTTTTAACTGCATTTTTTTTGTTCACTGTTAATGTCCAGAAACTCAACTAAGTTTTATCTAACTTGGTATCCGACAATCCTGAGAAGTTTTCCTATTAAGGCATCAGGCTTATCTGGAAACTGATGAAAGATCTTTCTTTGTCTAATATACTGTTCTACATACAACTTCTAGAGCAGTATTAATTGTAACCTCCTGAGAGGTTAACTATTAATGTAGCTCTAGAAGTTCCAGGTAGAAAGAAAGCTTATTTCAAGAATCCAAAATGTAGAAACTGACTTGTTTTCTAAAAACAGATGGTTCTGCATTTTCTTAAAAACTTAACTATGTTAACTCACCTTATCTGCACGTCCCATGAACGCAGGTTTGCCTGCTAGTCCAAGGCAAATGGCACACACTATGCTTGACTTCCCTGTTCCATTAGCTCCAATAATCATATTCAGATGGGGCCCAGGAGACACTTCACAGATATCATATGTTCTGAATTGTAAAGAGGTAAAATCATTAAACAGAACTGAGAGAAAACACTTTTCTTTGCAAGAGCATTTTCTGTTGCTTTGCATTATCACTGCCCACAACCCCTTTATAATTCATTTAAAAGCTAGCTAACCTTATGAATGTAATACTATTCATATATTTGAGAGGTAGGGGTGAGGTACTAAGGATTCAAACCAGGGCCTTTTATATGCTTCGTAAATGCTTTATCATCCAGCTATATCCTTAGCCCTCTAAGTTTTAAATAATCAACTTACAAAGGGACATTTCTACCAATGGAAAAAATAATAATGCATAGGTAAAATAAGAACCCAGGGACTGAGTATGGTGGCACATGTCTTTAATTCCAGCATTTATGAGGCAGGGGCAGGCAGATATTTCTGAGTTTGAGGCCAGTCAGGGTTACATAGTAAAATCCTGTTGTTAAACAAACACAATACCCAAGTTTCAAACAATTTATCCTCTTTTGGGAGACTATAGCAAACTTACCTCACAAGTAAAATAATTTTAAAGCAAATTTATACAAGAAGCCACAGTTTTTCCCTAATGTCTTATCAGTAGCTACTATATTTTACATATTTTAGTACTTTTACTATACTTTATTTACATTTATATATTAATATTTAAAACAAAGTTATTCAAATCACAAAATGATGTTATCAAATCAACAGTTTCATTTCATTAATTTTAAAAAGGCCCTTCATTTCCTTTAATATGCTGCAAGAAGATTCCAAGAATCCACAACAGGCTATGCTCCAATAGTCCTTATTTCTCTGAGAGAAGGCAAGGAGGCATGACCAGAGATCTATAATGATCAAGTCTGCACATACACACTGTGCTGTCCAGTAACTCTGACGCCATACTTAAATGAGTTAAACGGATTTAACTTATATCCAGTACCTATAGTTTTAGATGTCTGCTTCTAAATCTGCTGCTTCTGTGAGCTCTTCAATAAGTGATTTTCTCCTACATACTTTTTCAGATCTATTTTATTAATTTTTTATCTGTGTTTAATCCTCATTATTTGTTGGGGATAGCTTTGGCAAAATATGAAGCAAACTACCTTGCCTTTCAAAATCTTTAATTGGAATTCATAAGTAATATTCCCTCTCTAGGTCTTTAGTGCGTAGGCTCAGGTACACCTAAGTAATTCCCCAAGATAGTTGCCAGAGCGCTACTAACATGCTAAATATATAAATAATTAAATAACACACACCAACTTTAATACTTAACACTTTTAAAACAGCCAGGTGGTAGCAAAAATAAATAAGTGACAAAAAAAAATACATGGATACACATGAATCCTAGTATCACCTGTTTAAAAAAAGAAAGAAAGAAAAGCTAAAGGGCTGGTCTGAAGAGACAGTTCCACTGTCATGCAAGGTCATCCTCTTCCAGAGGCCCCAAGTTTGGTTCCTAGCACCTACATAGGACAGCTCACAACCACCTGTAACTTGAGTTCCAAGGAGCAAGATGCCCTCTTCTGGCCTCCAAAGGAACCTGTGACATAATACAAAGACACACAGACACATACATCTTACTTTAAAAGAGGGGGAAAGTGATCTTTTGTAACTTCACCCTAGTTTCAGTTTTTCTATCTCTGCTCAGAATTTTACGTTCTATTATATATTTCTCTTAGTTTCTTGACTAATTTGTGCAATTGCCTAGAACTCTTTCCCTTTACTCTCAAGCCCACTCAACTTAGTTCATTCATAGCAAACTCATGTACTATTTCTAGGCCATCTGAGTTCTCTAAACCTAGCCTCCCTACTTGCTTGTTACTTACTTCTTCTTGGACTTACTCTCTGTGATGACTATTCTTGGTAGTAAAATTGACTACATCTGGAATTTACTAAAACTCAAGCAGCTCTGTATACTTTTGAGGGATTTTTTAAATTATTTGAAGTGTGAAGACCCACTTTTAATCCAGATAATTTGAGGTGTGAAGATCGACCTTTAATTTGGGCCACACTTTCCGCTGGCAGACTCTATAAAGGACATGGAAGAAAGTTTGCTATCTTTGCTTGCTTGCTTGCCTTTACTCTCACTAGGGAGTCCATTCCTTCACTAGCATTAGAACTTTCATCTTTGGGATTCTGGCACATACTGAGACATTCAGCCTCATGAACTAAACAACTACTGGATTCTTGGACTTTCCACTGATAGACAGCAATTGTTAGACTGTTAGCCATTCTAATAATTGGCCTTTCTATATACACATATAGATTTATTCTGTAAGTTCCATTCTTCTAAAAAAAAAAAAATCCTAATATACTCCCCAAACCATACCCAACTCTGCATTTTTCAACTACTTTTTTCTTTGCTGTTTTTGTCGACACTTTCTTTCCTTGTTCTCCCTTGGTCTGCAAAATTTTCTTTTGTACAGCTTTATCAAAGGGGCAGCATTTTTCCAACTGCTAAGTGTAGGGGGGCTTCGGTCTCAATACAATTCAATGGAGCAGGTACTTTTGAAGTAGTACTTTAACTTAGTTTCCCTGACAACAGTCCTCATGAGACTCAGGATCTCTAAGTGCATCCTCTCACTCTTACAATAAACAGACTTTTTATTCTTCCAACTTACACTTCCTTTTGCTTAGTTTCAACAACTTCTGCAACATCAACAATCACCTGAGGACTCCCAAGTCTGTGACTTTTCACGTTGCCTCTGAGCTACAAGCAGTTATAAACTACACCTATAGAACGTTTATTTGCTTCTCTTAGGAAGTTCAAGACACAGACATTCAACTGCATTCATCATTTACTCTCCACTCCACTCTCTCCTGGGTAACACAGGACCAGTTAGCTGAAATGGAGGCTTGGGAAGAACTACTAATCGCTTTGTCCTCACACCTCACAATCTGTGGGAAGATCTTGTCAAACCCCTCCTTTCACCTGGTAATAGTTTCACCCTGTATTTCTTGCTTTCTTTCTTTTTTTTTCGAGACAGGGTTTCTTTGTGTAACAGCCCTGGCTGTCCTGGAACTCACTTTGTAGACCAGGCTGGCATCGAACTCACTGAAACCCGCCTGCCTCTGCCTCCCAAGCACTGGGATTAAAGGTGTGCACCACCACAGTCCATCTCTATTTCTTCCTTTCTTTTTCTTTTTTTTGGTTTTTCGAGACAGGGTTTCTCTGTGTAGTTTTGGAGCCTATCCTGGCACTCGCTCTGTAGACCAGGCTGGCCTCGAACTCACAGAGATCTGCCTGCCTCTGCTTCCCGAATGCTGGGATTAAAGGCGTGTGCCACCAACACCCGGCTCTCCCTTTCTTATTTTAAGTCTTCTTGCTTTCTGTCTGGTATCCTCTCAAAATCATCCTGCAGACTGCCTCCAGGTTGCTGACTACCTGAAGGAGGAAACTGGAGTTTCTCAGCATAGTAACAGACCAGAGACAAGGGTTTCTGACCTCTATCCACACATGTTAACTTACAAACTGGCTTTCAGGAAGTTCCTTCTTTGTGCATCATCTTCCCTTCTTTTCAGATTTTAATATATTCTTCTCAAAGCTCTCACAGTTGTGCATGAAACTAGCCCTTTTAGACTTTATGCCTCGCCCGAAACCCTGGGTGGATAAGTTACAGCAGATACCTCAATTGAATACGTTTCCCTTTCCTCATCTCTATTCAGACAGAAATTCAGCTATTAGAATCGATATAAAGCCGGGTAAAAACAGCATCTTTCTGTTTATATAATCAATAAAGAAAGGAAGAAACAGCGATGTGTAAACGACAGATGTGTACCTGGTACGTAAGTGCTTGGGGAAAAAAAAGGTAGTACTGCTACTAGAGTTCTGTAACTTATTCAAATCTACATTTAAAAAAAATGCTCCAAAAGAAAAACTCTAATAAGACGCTAAGATATTTTTGGTAACATTTAGAATCTACTTAACTAGTTGGGGTGGGTGCAGGGAAGAAATGGGGATCTGAAGGGCCAAGAGTCTCCAAGGAGGTACAAAATCTGGGAACACGATTTAATTTTTTTGTACACTCTAACCTCCAATCAGCAACCATTACCATCTCATCTGCCCACTCGGAAAAGGTGTACACTTTCAAAATCTGCCTCTAACTGTTGCCTCCTGAGTTTTGTGAATTGCACAAGTCCTCGGGAGACCACGACTAGCAGCTATACTAGAAGACCTGGCCCTTTTGCATATCCGCTGACTGCATCCAACGCCTTCCAAAACCATTGGCGGGTGGATAAAAAAACAAAAA